TCTGGCAATATTTAGTACCAAAATTTAATAGCAGTGAGGCTGCCACAAATATATACCTGAATCAAAATTTGGCGAAGTACTGAAATTGATGTCCGAACATTATTTGAGAGACGAACCGTTATCCGCTTCGAGTATGTATTATTTGTTTATATTTTTTTGTTGTTCGGTATTGACAAAAGCTTCAAAAAAATTTAATAGGATCCAATGATCGCGAAGAAGCCAAAGGAAAATGGTTGCAAATACTACATGATAAGAAGTCAGTGGCCTGCTTTGATCAATCAAATAATATCGTCGGTATATGTTTAATATATGTAAATGACTGAATCAGTTAATATATTATTTCGATTTGATTTCAAGTTACAAATGATGAATTTTATGCTTAGACAAAACCAAAACATCCAGATCCAGAAAAACAATTGATGACTGGTTTTAATATATATATTTGAATACTACGGAGTGAATGCGTATTTGAGAGGCGATAGTATGTTAGGTAATTTGTAATAAAAAATCATATTGTTAGGTAATCCTCCTAAAGAAAGTAAATTTATTAATAAAAATAATAATTTTAAAAAATTATTTTTAGTTTTACCAAAATATCGTGGACTTAGTATTGGAAAACATATGTTGTCGTGCGGTAAGAGAATTTGTAAAGATTCTGGCTTAAAAGTTATGTCAAGCCATTTTACATCTAAATATTCGAATCGCATAGCCGATGAACTTGGCTATGAGCCAAACGGAGAATACGGGTAACTGATGACAGCTATCAATTAATATTTGATTTCACTGATTTTAGTTATATGTTTTGCAGACAAGTCGGTGATCATACAATTTATTTGAAGTCAATTAAATATGACTAGAACCGCCATAGAAGAGGTACATACATTCACACTTTTTTTTCACAAAAAAACTCAACAACACCAATAATAAGTAGATTCTCAATGCAAAATACATGTATTCAGATTTTTCGCCTTCCTGGCCACAATTTTGCACGTACCAAAATTTCGATGTACAGACAACTCATTACAGAGTTTGAAAGACATTAAAACCTTTCCAATGGTATGCCTGAAATTTTGATAGGTGCAAAATTGTGGACAGGAGAGGTACCGGAGTGTTGCTTTGCAAACCTACGATGCCTTTCAAATTTTATACAGTCATACAAGGGTGAATCACTACCAAAATTCAACCGAGTGTTAAAACATGACCGAAAGTAACAAGAAGAACACTGACAAAGTCATGATATGAGTCGGTATTTTTTGTACTTTCGAAGCTTCCGGCAATTTTTCGGCACTTTCGGTCCTATTCTAGTACTCGTCAATATTTTCAGAATTTTTAAACTGATTTGTCCCTTTGAAGTTAACAAATGTGTGCTATAAATAAAACAATTTCTTATGTTTATAAGAAAATTCGACATTTGTATCATTTTATTTTCAGTTTAAACGTCTTTCCGAATAGAGAAAAGAATATGCGGGTGATTCAACATAATAAAACGATTTCCAAGAAAATGTAAAACAAGCGACGGCGGTTCAACTAAAAATCCCAACGTCCAACGCTTTGGTCGAAATCCAAATTTATGCATTCGAAATCTCGCTTCTTTCAAGTCTCACAAATTCACTTATAGTCTCCGCTGTTCTTTCGAAATCAGTTTTATTAGTATTAAAAACTGGTGATAAAACAACATTGTCTTATACAGCAAGTAAATCTGAATTCGGAATATGTGAGAGTGTCGTGTTGTGCGTATGCGTGTATATTTTTTGTCTCGCCATGGTCGCGAGAAGTAGAGTGTTTTCTTTTTGCCATCGTTTGGATAAAATTCAGTATCGCATCAGCACGAGAGAGAAACTGTAACTCTTTTCCGAGAGCATTTCTGCATACTCTCAACCTACAATCAAATTTAGCATATATATTTTTTTAAAAACAATTATTGTGATTTTTGTGTACTCTAAAATTCAATTTAAAAAATGCCATTTCCAACAGTTAAAAGTTGTTGTTGCCTAAGTTTGCGAACGGCAGGCATATTAATAGGCATTTGTAATCTTTTAATAAATATTTCATCGGTATACGGGTATTTTCATCTCGAAAAACATGCAAGCGATAACTCAGACTGGATGGAAGGCTGGGAATTGGTTTTAACTTGTGAGTAAAGACTGTATTACGTCATATCAGCAGAAGGAGCCGCATACCAAATGACGGCGCCACAATGTCGAGAACATATAAAACAGTGTAACATCAGTGCTATCATTCGAGATACATTCATATATCTATGACGTCGCAAGGACGCCGCTGATTCTATATGCTTTATCCGACTAAGATTTATGTTGACTGCTAACCTACTAAATGTCTGACCAGATATGAAATCAATAATCAGTATAAACAGAATTTTTACCAAAAAAATCAATTCTTTTTTTTTCAGGCATATTAATGCCGATAAATATAACCTGGATTTGTGGAATAGTGAAGGTGGAATAGTCGGAAAATTGACTTTTAACAAATTTACATATTTTCACAGAATTTTTTTTTCTCGCAGGAAAAAACAAAACTTATGTTGCCATTTTTCATTCTGTCATCCATTGGAGTCATTGTATTAGTTGCTTTGCCATTCGGTTTACTATTCTACTTTTCAACCATTAACATGGACGCAATGAAAGGGACACTTCTTTTCATCCTATCCTTGTGCGCGGGAGGTAAGGATTTTTTCTACTTATTTTTCTACTAAAGTTAGTTTTCAAGTTATAAACATAACTTATTTTCGATTTTTTTCTTTTGTAAAGAAAATTTTTTTAATCCTATTTTTATAACATTCGATTTGTTGCTCGAATTTTTAAAGGATAATAATAATTTTTTTTTAGAAATTTGACTAATCCTTTTGATTCTCTTGCGCAATGCATCCAAAAAATTTCATCGAAAGACCTTTTTCTCTCAAAATCCTTAAATTTTCATAATTTTCAAGAAGTTCTTTCTCGGAAAAAAACACAATTTTCGATTTTTATGAACAGA